ATTGTTTAAGGGCAAGGTTCTCAGCACCACAAAACCACATCTCGAACTTACTACCGGCACGGCCAGCACGTAGCCTAAAAGAAATGTGTTCCATATTTCGTAAAGCAAACTACCTCGGTAGCGTGGAGTAAAAGCGAAACACGAAAACTACACGAGCTCACTAACGAAAGTAGTCAGCTCCGTCTTTTCCTGTGGTTTGATTAAGATTTTGCTTTGTCTGTTTACTAGCATAGACTATTCATAGTTAGACTAGTTTTATTGTGAGAAAGCAAATACATACTATTCATGTATGGGTAGGGTTGGGAAACTATAAAATGCTCCTCTATATTTGGCGCGAAAACGATTAAAAAGGCTTGAATACTATTTGACCTTAGTTCAAATTTTAGTAAATTATGAAACAGCAATGAAAAAAAAAGAAGACAAATTTCATAGTATAGAGAAATTCTGTAATTATTAAAGAAATTGAATTTATTGTCAAAATCTTAAATTTTTTTTTTGTGATTTTTTGATATAAATGTAACTTTAGTGAATCAAAAGTCACCCCTCGCCCACCTCTCTCCCCCCTGACAAAACTAGACTCGAAAGYGTAACAAGTAGCGCTATAACGAGCTGTGCTATCCATCAAAATCAAAATCCTTACTATTTATACCTGATCACAGTGTCACACTGTAGTCAATCTTCGATTACCTTCTGCCGTGGCAGCAGCGTTCACTAGATTTCCCTACGAACCTTATCTTGGATAACGACCTGACTGATCGATGGCGCGACTGTTACTGTTACTGTGTACTGTGTTCTTGTTGGTGAAGGGTGAGTCTAAAACTAGATCAAACACTATTTCTTATTTAATAGTTAACTCTCGGATGTTGTCAAATTAAATTAAGTAGATTTTTCTTAATTCTTCATTCTAATAAGTTAATCTCATGATATGGTAAGGTCATTTCACGAGCTACGTTTGGTCAATAATTGCGGCTCAAAACTCACAGAGTAGGATCTGAATAATCTGATCCAGAAAAGCATATGTAATTCCGTATAAATTGAAATGAAATTTCAGAAGGGCGTCTTGAATACATTCTTTTTAGTTTTAGTAGGATAATTTGACAGTTCCATCAAATTAAGGATGTTCGCGGGCAAATTTCTCATGTTTTCCCCCTAAAACTGACTTCGCAGAGTGAGTAAAATAAGGTCATCATAGAAGATCGATGAGCAAATAAAAAATTGGGGTCACCGAACTTACTGAGACGTTATATAATATCACAGGTAGCCCAGGCTTACCGTTAGTATTGAATAACTGAATCGATCGAGAGACAGACAGACAGACAGACAGACAGACAGACAAAGATTATATGGGTATCATATGGGTATTTTTGAATCCTCATTTTTACGCTTTAAAATAATCAAAATCAAATAAAACTCTCACCGTGTGTTGTTGATATATTGAACAGCCCCATGGCTTAATTAAAGCTCATTTCGTTCGGGTTTAGATGACGCTTCCCCACCACACACTAAAGAGGCAGGAGACGACTCAGACAAAACGGCCGTCGAACGGTCGAACTCTTTGCCAAATATGCTTCAAGTTGAAACTTTCTTTTGCAGGACTTTGGAGAGATAACTAAGCCACGCTATCACCTTAACAGAATTAGCAAAACCATTATTCTTGAGAAGCAATCCCCAAATGGGTATCACAATCCGGCTTCTCTGGACGCCATTTTCATTCCTGACTCGAATGTTTGCCACCCGAAAACCGTTTTTTTCTCGAATAGAGCCTGGACAGAGGAAAATCGGAAACTCTCGAGGGTAGCCTCGGGTGATATACACAAAATTACCAAAACATGACACTCAACTACCCCCACACGTCAAATTTTATTCAAACCTATTGTATTTTTGGCATTTATAAAAGAATGATGTTAGTCAATCATGATATGTATATATAAATGGCGAAAAATACAATAGGTTTGAATAAAATTTGACGTGTGGGGGTAGTTGAGCGTCATGTTTTGGTTTGTGTACATCACCCGAGGCTACCCTCGAGGCTACCTTCTCCTCTTTAGTGTGTGGTGGGGAAGCGTCATCTAAACCCGAACGAAATGAGCTGTAATTAAACCATGGGGCTGTTCAATATATCAACAACACACGGTGGGAGTTTTATTTGATTTTGATTATTTTAAAGCGTAAAAATGAGGATTCAAAAATACCCATATGATACCCATATA